AGAATATAAGGATGATATATTTTATTGTATAATAATATGAAACAATAATTGAGTAAACTTCAAAATAAAAAAAAATGCTTCTATTAAAATTAAAAATTGTTTATATTATTCATTATTATACTATTTTTTTATCTACCGCCTTTAGCACATGCTTGTGGTGATGGTAGAAAGTTATATAACATAATATGAACAATTTAATTATAAATAAGAAAAGCGGACAAGAACTGAATAATCAATCTATACATAGAATACTAATTATAACTAATATTTAATTACAACAGTTAAATATATACATAATACCTTATTATTTATTCAAGTGTTGAAAATAACCAAATCTGAATTTTTTTCATTTCTATAGTTATACGATTCTCTTCTGTATAGAATACCCACCAAAAACATATATGTAAAATGAGAGCCAAGTTCAATACTATAATATATGCCTTGGTTGTTGACTTCAACGACAACAAAAGTGAGATCTAAATGGGTGCCAAGTTAGGATAATATATTGAAGCCTAAGGTGTGACTTGGCTACTTTTCATATACGAATTATTATTATAAGTACCTACTAAAACAGTAATGGAAGAGTGAAGATGATTTTCCGAAGAATAAAATAAGAACTCAAAGCTTTAGATCTTGCAAATGCTATAATATATAATTCGTAGCCAAGTCAGACCTTAGGCTTCAATATATTATCCTAACTTGGCACCCATTTAGATCTCACTTTTTTTGTCATTGAAGTCAACAACCAAGGCATATATTATAGTATTGAACTTGGCTCTCATTTTACATATATGTTTTTGGTGGGATATCATTACTTTTTGTATGTAAATTATTATAACCTAACCTAGCCATGACGTATTCTATAAATAAAGTTTATTTCTATACAATATAATTCAGTTACTAATATTAATAATAATATTTATTATAAAATATTTTCCGTTGTATATACAGAGTATAAAATATATGTAAAATTAATATACAATTATTTTAACTCTTTTTGAGTATATTTTTAATTATCATAATTTTATTGACTGTAGTTTCTACTGTTGGGTGGATAATTCATAATTTGTAAGAATAATTATTTAATTATTTTAATTGTAATATTTAAAAAAAATAATATTAATTACATACATAGATAGAAAAAAAGTATGTTGCTGCGCGCGGGTCGACAATATCGACACATATTCGGCTAGTCGTATTTTTGGAGCGGCGATACGGGAAAGGTTACTTAAGTCAACATTACATTAAATTAGAGGCAATTCATTAATAAATTGAAAAATTAAACATAATAGATAAAATAATTGCAAAATTATAATAAAATCAATTGATTAAAAAATTAAAAAATTAAAAAATTAAAAATTAAAAAATTTTCAAGTTTCTGATTTTTTCCTTTGTATTTACCTAACTACCTATCTGTATGCCAAATTTGAACTTTCTAGGTCATCTGGAACTGGGTTAGAATTTTGATCTATAGGTAAGTCAGTGATAAAAATGACGATTTTCGGTCGTTAATATCTAAATAACGGTTTGTAGTGTGTTTATGAAATTTAGAGCACATATGTATCTCGTTAGTCTCAATATATGAGCCAAATTTGACATGTTTATGTGGAATAGTTTTTGAGTTATGAGGGGGTCAAAAGTGGCTCTAAATGGTTCGTGTAATATTACACACGGTGCTGCTCGCCAGTTCTGTTAGCTAGAACTTGGCTTGACACGCTACCGCGTGTCTAGATATCCCTTTTTATATTTACTGACATAAAGTTGTAGTTTTTTGGATTTATATAATCTATGAATTGTTGACTAAACGCTTTTCTAGATTCTAGAATACTCCATTCTGACATCAAATAACCTATTTTCTCTTTTAATTATTACTTTTTTCATATCCAGAAAGAATTCAAAGTTTTTAATTATATATAGGTACAATAGTTATTTTTTTATACACAGACTCAAATGGTAACACATCTAATAACTTAAAGTTTTCTTTATTTGAACCATTTAAAGCATTTTTACTTAAACATGTCCTTAAATTTTTTCTTTGCAAAAGTTGTAGTGGTCTAGACTCATTTTAATTCAGTAAAAATTATAATTTTGACTATTATTTGATATAAAAGTATATTATTTACAAAAATTATAAAGTAATTAGGTACCTATACCTAGTCAATAATTGTAAATTATTTGTCAATTATTGATTGTTTTTATTTTTATAAACATTTTTTATTACAAATTACCTATTTCAAGTAAATATTACTTTGTAAGTATTATTACTTATATTTACAAACAAAATTTAAAAATTTTTATTTACAAATTTACAATAAAATAGTGCATTATATAAAATGATTTATTTGGTATATCATGAGAGAGTCGGGATTTATATGTTTTTACATATCGTTCCTAAGTACCTATATGCAGTCTTATTAAAGTAAAAAATGTAGATAGTACAGTATACAGTAGACAGTAGGTTAGTAGGTACTAGGTAGGTAGTATAGAAAACACAGTTCACAGGGGCGGTTCCAGAGATTAGGAGGTGACCAAATCATAATTTTCAGAAAATGTCCATGATTTTTTTTTGTAAATTTTTTTTTTAAGAGTAGGTATACAATTTTTTAGAAATACAGCTTTAGGGGGAGGGTCTTAGGGCCCCCATGGATGTGGATCCATGATAGTTCAACGGATAACAGTCCGTAGTGTTTGGTCTGCGTAGACAAATTCCCTACTGTAACCCAAGAGTGGGAATAAGTTTGTGCAGTCAGAAAAAATCATTAAAAAAATCCTGGAACATATATAGAATATCATACAACTCCAATAACTTCCGAATCCTACTAATTACATACCGTTGCTACCTACGTATTTCGGGTACGATGGGTTTTTTGTTTATTTTTTTAAGTTTATGACGATTGACGATGCGCAGCAGCGGTCTTGCCGAGCGGACCTCCTCGGCGAGGATTTGGTGGCGTGCGACGCACGTCGGCCGCCAGTCATAATATTAAAATATTATAAATATAATATTATGCCCACCGCGTAGGCTCTAATTCATCGTCGACCGAACGTTGTTTTAACAGTTTAATAATATGCGCCAAGCGGGTAAAATTAATCATTCAGCTACCATATTTTTTGAGCGATTAATAATATTCCAAAACTTTATAATGACCAATTTTTGCCTTATAAGTTATAACTTATAGTCAGGGTCGGGCAGTAATCAGTTAATGCCATGGTGTATGCACTGACCACTATATGGTGTTTTTTTTCAACTGCAGGAATACTCTTGCATAATCCCATACGCTGGGAGACGAGAAAATAAGTGTTGTATATTGACGAAAACCTAACAAAATTGCATAGAAAACTATTCAGCAATTTTTTAGGATGCAGTACAGAAGGATCGAATGTGTGCAAGGCGATTGAAACAACGCTGAAAGTTCAGTGTTCTGGAAATATAAAAAGTATAGGCATGTCATGGTATATTTTATATTACATTAGTACCTACCTATATAAGTTATATTATAATAGGATAGAATATTATAATATTATAATTTATATTTCCGAAATAATTATATAATATAAATATATAATTTTGTATTGTGTTTGGGGGACTGTATAGGCCACCCATCGTACACATATTCTTGTAATATTATCAATGGCTATGTCAATTATTTATTAATAACTTCACACTCGTAATAGATAATAGTTACATGTATCAATGTTACTTATTTAATTTAAATGCAGATTAAAATAAAAGATAATTTTAAATAATTTAATAGTTCTAAAGTGTAAACTTACATTTAAATACGTAATAATTACTAATTAGACGATATTATGCAATATAATTTTTGTTGTAAATGTTTTATAGGTAATAAACACCACGATCGAAATTTAAGTTAGTTTTTCCAATAACTACCTATAACTTATAACTTACACATATTTCAGTGTTCACTAATATTAAATATAGTACCTAATATTAGTAATACCTAGAACAAGTTTAAAATTATTAGTATTAAAGTAATATTGAAATGTTAAATGTATATATAATACCTTTATTATATTATATATTTACTAACCCGTTTTCCGTTAATTTTTCTTTTGTTTTTCACGGCGCTTTTGAAAACTACTGGATTTTTTACTTTTGACCCCTCAAAGTACTAGATTTACAACTAGATTCACATTCCTATCAGAAAAGGTGCCGTTGAAAAAATACTAAAAAATCTATTTTGTATAAGATTATGTACGAACTTTGAGATCACTATTGAAGAACCTATTAAGCATGATATTAAATATGAAAAAGTATTCAAAGCATATTATATCATTTTTTTTGCATACTTTATTCCCTTGAATGAATGGGATCACTAATGATATAGCACCTAAGTATACTGATTACCTATACTTTTTTGTCGAATTATTAATTTATATATAAGTTAATGACAGCTAATAATAAAATTAGTTGAACCTACTATATAACTAATAAAACAATTAATTTCTTACAACGATATAAATGTATAATAGCCAATAGGTAATTAATAAACTATCATTAGAAATATAGGCTGGTATACCGTCTCTGGTCAAAATCAATTTCAGTATGCGATGATTTATCATTGAATTCAAATTTAAACTCTATAACATATCCTATAATGACAAGGTAGCAATCGACAGTTTCTATAATACTTATAGCAATAGCAGAACGACTTTCAAATTTATTTTTTTAAATTTCAATGTTATAATACACTGGGTTTCAATTACAGTTCATCTATTTTTTCTAAAACGAATAAAAATATCAAAATGTACGGCCCTGTGGCTAGCGGATTTCATTAATCGTATTGTTGCTGGCTGAAATTAAAATACTATTGCCTTAGGTTTATACAGCTTGTCGTATGTATACGTTGTTTATTATCCGACAGTAGCGTGAAGGAAGCCCATTCTATGATTAAATATTTAAGTTCTTACCAGTGCCGCTTTTATTAAATTATTATACCTATCGTAAGACTAACGTTGCACATAATTGTGTGGCTGAATCAAACATCGCTCTCGTTCCCGTTCAGCGGTGACTTTCGCGGTGATGTGAAGATTTGTCCGCCGTCGCCGACTCCTGTCCACAACCAGTGGCGGCGTGATAAAAATATATCGGAAAATTCACTGCATAATTCTTCAATAGATACTTTTTCTTCAAGATTCATATGATCTGTTTTGAGAAAGTTCTTTAGAAGTTGAGTCCGATTTTGTTCATTTTTTGTTACCTTATTAGTATGTATAAAATGTTTTATTGATTCTTCATTTATTATTTCGTGTGATAACTCTGTTAGTTTTGGTGTAGGTACCACAATCTGAGTTTCTGTTGGGTTAATTATACTTATGAGAATCTGATGATTTTTTACTTTATTTAATATATTTCCACATATTATTTCATTATTTATATTTTGAGCGTAAACTAGTATGCTCTGATGTTCTTGAATTTGTAGATCTGACACATCTACTGGAATAATTGTTTCACATCTAGCTGGAATAGTTGTGACGTCATCTAATTTTGATGTAATTTCCCCTTTTCCTACGTCAATGACAATTTGATTCTCCGTTAAAAATGGTTTTCCCAAAATACCATCGCCCATAATTGTCGGAAAATTTGTCGGAACTACATGAAATTCACTTTCGGAAGATTGATTTCCATTTATGACTGTCAACATTGTAAATCCCAGGGTCTTAACTGTTTGATCATTTATCCCCTGTAACATGAATATTTTTGTGTCTGATACTTGAACATCATCGTGAAGAGCACCTAGTTTTATTAAATTAAGATCAGCTCCTGTGTCTACAAGTAGCTTTACGATATATTTTGTACATTGTGGAATTTTATATAAAGCATGATTATCAATTAATTTGATTTTGAATGACAAGGTTCTTGCAGGTTTAAGGCTATTGTTTTTAATGTTTTGACCGATTGGTTGCCCGAGCCACTCGGTCTTGGCTCGTTTCCCGAAAACTGTCCATTGGATTTATTTGTTTTTTTCTTTTTGTAACATACATCTTCGGAGTGTCCCGGTTTATTACAATAAGCACATGTTATCTTTTTCACATCTTTATTATTTGGATTTGAATGTACTTTTGATTGAAAATTTTGTTGGCCAGTATCTTGACCGCGATTTCCATATCTGCATTGATTTGTAAAATGATTATTACGATTGCAAATTTCGCAATACTTTTGATTGTTATTTCTGCCTTGGTTTCCTCCTTTAAGTATTCGTTGAGTCTCTTTTGATGATTGATAAATTTTCTGCTCTTCAAGACTTGCCTTCATTGCATCTTCCAGTGTTTCAAAGTTTCTTGATTTAATCACTGTTCTTAAATGAGGTAATAATCCTTCTACGTACGTCGTTAAAGTAATTTCTTTTATATATGTACGTATTGCTGTGGCATCTGTGGTTGATTTTCCCTTTGTGCTCACATTACATAATTCATTGAGTAGATTTTCAACCTTTGTAGAGTAGTCATGAACTGACTCTCCTTGAGACTGTCTTGTTGATGTAAGTTCAAGTTGTAGATATCCTGGTGTACGTTTAGCACAAAAGTTTGATTCGAGTAAATGTTTAAGTCCTGCCCAATCTTCTACATCACGATGTTGAGTTATCGCAAAAGCTTTTTTACTTAATTTTGTACGAATAGCTTGTAACAAAACTGGCTTTATGTTGTTATCGACATTAGACATTACGAAATCACATGCGCTAAGATAAGGATAGATATCAGCTGAATCTTCACCATTGAAAAAAGGAACCAATTTAATGGCTGTTTCTAATGAAAGAACTGTATTGTTCATTTTGGAAATGGTACACGAATTATCCACCCCCAAAAATTTTAAACCGAGTAGTTCGGTATTTTTATTTATTTGTTTTGGTGTATTTTCTTCACCTATTTGATCCGAAGGTACTGAAGTTGAAATATTTCCCCTAGTATCAGAGAATAATGATTCTACACTTCTAGATTTCCTATGGTATCTTTTATTTTGGTGTGCTCGTGACCTAGTATTTGGGCCAGTATATTTTAAATTATCGTCAAAGTTATTTGATATAGGAGTATTATAACCTTTATTTACTGTAGATGTATCTGGGCTCCTATCACTGCTACTATTACCACTACTTGATTGAGTAGACATACATTAAAAGTGTTAGTTTGTTATTATAGTGTATAATAACAACAAAACAAAACGACAATAATAATAAAAAAATTACAATTATGTTACTATGTCAGTAGGTCAAGATAAAATAAAAAATACAGTAATTTTATTCTATTATTCAAGTTAGTGATAATAATATTATTATAATATAAAAATATTTATGTTATTATTTTTTTTTTTTTACTTACAGTATGACGGTCTTTGTTATTACTCCGAACTGCATAATAATTGACTTCTTTGACAGATTATCTGGATCCCTTGTTGAACTCGCCACGTCTCTCGGTGTCGTTCCCACGTAGTCTTTAAGTTATTTCGTTTGAAGTTCTACGCTCCGAAACCGGTATGTGCGGAGACCACACTGGTGGGTTTTGTTTAACTTGAACGATTAATTAATTTCTGTTTACTAATTAATCGATGTAGACGAGAAGTAGTGTAGCTTATCGTATAAATGTGCGTATTGGTATTGACAATAGGCGTTGATTGTGTATTTATAATGACCGATAAAATATGGTGATCCCGTTTTTTACGTAGTTGGTATAAAACAAGTAGCAACTCCTACGGTGTATTTGTAGATGCGTGTGACGTAAATATCGGGGACTATAGAATAGTTTCCTCACCAATCTTTAGGTAAAAGCGACTCCGTATGAATATATTCACTCGTGTTCACTTTTTTTTATTTATAATAATTATTTGAATATATCACTCACTAGACAGAATTTCTTTCACAGAAAAGAAAATGAAAACGGCTACCGCTGCCACCAATGTTATGAACGCCACTGCGTATGCCTGTGATGTTCTGTTATATTTTATATTGTGTCTCTGGTTGTATCCGAAGACGACAATTTGTTGAAACCGTTCTCTGTGTAGCGGGTGATAATCAAATGTTGTTTAATAGTTTATTAATAAAAAGAATACACGTTTTAGATTTATATGAGAATATTATACTTTATTAGTTTTAAAAAATATGATTTATACTACAAGCTCACTACTTAGCTCGAATGAGTCGAGTTCTAGACTGAATTGCCGACAGGACCGATACTACAGTCTTGTCGCGTATAAGCAAAATATCTAAGATAAGACGCCTACATACAGGCGTTATTATATTCTGTAAAACAAGCGTCTCTATAGTCTCTATAGTGGTGGGCATATAACAGGTGTTTCATGAGGCAATTGCCTCACGACCAATTAGGTGGTGGTACCCCCCTCCGGGAACGGATATTAAAAACCACATATGAAATATGGTCAAGGGACGGAGTGGCCGAGTGGTCTAAGGCGTCGGTCGCGACGCAGCCGGTGCCAGCTCGATTCCTTGGTCGCGGGCGGCAATTTTCTTTGGGCAAGTTACGGAGAATAAGTGCCGCCACCTCTTACCCGGGCATGGCAAATACCTACGGGTGTCCCAAATAAAAAATTCTGCCAAAACAAACACACATGTGTAACAAATCTACAGTACCACAGGCTAATGAAGTTGTTGAATGTAGTTGTCGAAGCCTTAACCCTAGTAAAAAAAAAAAAATAAATAAATAAATATGGTCAACTAATGTCTAGTACTATTAATTATACTAATTTTATAAAATTTCTGATATTAACACAACAAAGTATATTATCGTTGTAGAATTGTGAATTGGGGGTGTGGGGGCAAAGCCCCCGCGGGTCTGTGTGATAAAATTTAGGTGGTGGTGGTCGAGCATTTATACTTGCCTCATAAAATAAAATAGTTCACGCCGCCACTGTCCACAACACAATACGCAAGTCGTGGCCGACAAACGTAGTCCGCAATACTCGTAGGATCGGCAGCGGCGCAAACAATATGCATAGAGCCATAGAACGTAGTTATACAACATAATATATTGACATATTGTATGTTTAATATAATATAGACAGAATATGACGTTATTATATATTTAGAAGAAGAAGAGAAAAACGAAAAACAAGGTATAGTAACTTGGTATAGTAGGTACTATCAATAATATCAGAAATACAAAAATAAATGTTTATAAAATTTTTTTTTTTAATTTTGAAACCGTGTTTGACTAAGTTTTAACTTTTAACTAACTAAGGATTATCGTTTTAACGATAAATGTCTTAATTGAACCATTCTTCGATATAATTTTAATTGTACGAGTTATGTTAGGATGCGTAAAACGAGTATTTTTAACTGTACAAATAGCATTAATGTTATTTTATAAAATATACAATGACGATTATATGGTTTTGTTGCGAGATGTGGCGGATGAGCCGTGATAAATATTTGAAGGTAATATTATATTATAATTTGGATATAGATGATCACAAAATCCTAAAAAAAATATCATCAGATATAGGTAAAATATTAATCAAGGGTTGCTTGTATTAAAATGTTGCATAATTTGAATAGCCAATTAAATAATATTATCCAGTATGAAGACCGAAGGTAAAAATGGTGGGTAAGTGGATGTCGCTCTGCTGTACAGTAGATTTCAAGTGGGTCACTGTATAATGGATGGTATTAAATTTGAATTCAATGATATAATATCATTGTATAAGAAAAACGATTCTGAGCGGTGACGGTATGTCAGTCTATGTATAAGACATATTATATACATATCTATGGTATTAAACAAGAAATTGACCTATAATAGGTACCTATAATAAATTCCAAACTAATCATATCACAATATCCATTAGATACTTATAACGCGTTATACATCAACAAAAACCGTGATACTATCATAGATATATAATAGTACACTTTAGAAGTTTCAAGTACCCACGAATAATATTATTCAATCACAACAAAATAACTAAAATCGTAATTCTTGGTTTAAATATGAAATTTTGTCTAAATTTGAAATTAAAATGTCAGTAAAAAATAAGTGTGTTTATATATTTTTTAGATTTTTTGGTTACAGTATGAATTATTTAAGAGAATCTTTGTTTTAAATTTTCAACTCTTAGTTATAAAAACTGAACATTTTATAATTTTTTAATTCCAACGATTGATAATTTTCGATATTTTGATAAATTTTGTCAAAATTCCAACTTTAAATGCCTATAAAAAAAAATCGTGCATATGTATTTTTAATATTTTTCAACTGATATTGTAACAATATATCAGGAGCCTTGTATTAAATTTTTACACTTTTTGGCCCAACAGATAAAACTATTGATATTTATAGAAAAAAAAAATAAAAAAAAATTGAAAGCGGTAAATGTCCGTAAATAGCTCAAAAAGAGTCAAAATATTTTCAAAATTGTACGGTGTATAGGAAATGCTAATCTGAACATTCAGTGAAATTTTCATGTATCTATAGTTATTCGTTTTTGAATAACAACAAAATTAGAAAATCGCTACATGACAAATCGAGTGAATATCCAATGTTGTAAAAATTTGAATTTCAAACGCTCATAAAAATTTAATTTGACTTTCTTATAGAATTTTTTTTTTGATAAATGTAGGAAATCTTGTATTACATTTTCATATCTTAGATTTAAAAAGAAAAATTTTTATGAATTTCTTACTCGAAATAATTTGCA